TACTTGGGAGGCTGAGGCAGGAGAATCACTAGAAACCAGGAAGCGGAGGTTGTGGTAAGCTGAGATCGCACCATTGCACTCCAGACTGGACAAGAGCAAAACTCTGTCTCAGGCTGGGAGCGGTGGCTCATGCCTATAATCCCAGCACTTTGGGAGGCCAAGGCAAGCGAGTCACAAGGTCAGGAGATCGAGACCATCCTGACTAACACACTGAAACCCTGCCTCTCCTAAAAAATACAAAAAAATTAGCTGGTTGTGGTGGCGGGCACCTGTAATCCCAGCTACTTGGGAGGCTGAGGCAGGAGAACGGCACGAACCTGGGAGGTGTAGAATGCAGTGAGCCGAGATCACGCCACTGCACTCCAGCCTGGGCGACAGAGCAAGACTCCGTCTCAAAAAAAAAAAAAAAAAAACTCTGTCTCAAAAAAAAAAAAAGTGTGTAGCACCTTTCCCTTCTCTCTCTTCCTCCTGATCTGCCAGGTAAGACATGCCTGTTTCCCCTTTGCTTTCCATCACGATAGTAAGTTTCCCGAGGCTTCCGCAGCCATCCTTCCTGTACAGGTTATGGAGCTGTGAGCCAACTAAACCTCTTTTCTTTATAAATTACCCAGTTTCAGGTAGTTCTGTATAGCAATGCGAGAACAGACTAACATAGCCATTAATTCAGTAACTGCAAAGTCCCGACTCAGCTCTGGAAAAGGATTTTGGAAAAAGGAACAGAGGTAGAGGGAGACAGATTTCTAATGTAAAAGCCATCTCCCTTTCAATATTCATTACCTTAAAGCAGGGACTGATGGTTGAGGGCCAGCGCACAGGGTCCTTGAGAATGAGGCTGACCAGCTGAAAGATGCTTGTAGCATAGAAGGGAGGAGTGCCTACTGCCAGTTCATACAGTATGCAGCCAACAGACCAGAGGTCAGCTGTGTGGTCATATGGTCGCTCCTCCACCAGCTCTGGAGACATATAGAGTGGTGTGCCTTTGATGGACGTCAGCACCATTGTGTTGGTGCTCATAGCCCGGGCAAATCTGCGAAGATAACGGGATGGATATGGAAAGAGAAAAGATATTCTAAACCTGGTCACTACTACCTAACATAGAGATATTCCAAACCGGAGCAGCGGGAGCACCTTTGATTAGGTTCCAGAAGACCCAGCAGAAGTCCCAATCTCCAGCTCTGGTTCTAAAATGAGGCGCAAATAAGTCAAGAGTATGGTCTAAGATTCCCTGTGGGGCCAGACGCAGTGGAGTAATCCTAACACTTTGGGAGGCCGAGGTGGGCAGATCACCTGAGGTCAGGAGTTCGAGACCAGCCTCACCAACATGGAGAAACCCCGTCTCTACTAAAAACACAAAATCAGCCAGGCGTGGTGGCACACGCCTGTAATGCCAGCTACTCTGGAGTTGAGGCAGTCGAATTGCTTGAACCCGGGAGGCAGAGGTTGCGGTGAGCGGAGATCATGCCATTGCACTCCAGCCTGGGTAACAAGAGTGAAACGCCTTCAAAAAAAAATTAAAAAAAAAAAAAAACAGATACCCTGTGGAACTGGAAGCATAAATGGATGCTAGAATCTTTACCCAAAGTCACAGAGCTTGATGCCACCACCCTTGGCAAGGAGGATGTTCTGAGGTTTCATATCTCGGTGTAGGATGCGGTGGGAATGCAGATAGTACAGGGCTGATACCAACTGAGCAGCAATGGCCTGAACCTAGAGGTTAAAGAGGTGAGAGAAAGAAAAAAAAGGTTAGAAGCAGCAGCTGGCTGACAAATCCAAAAACTTCTCCTAATATTACTGCTAATCTTTTCTTCCTTCCCTTTCTCACAGAGCTTCACACTATTCCTTTCTTAGTTATTGTTCCCCTTGTTTAATCCCTCTTTCATTTGCTCATTCATTCATTCAAGAAAAATTTATTGAATCTCATTTACTATCTGCTTGACCATGGGCAAACTAAGGTGACAATCTATATACTGACACCATCTACCCTGGTGGATTATTGTAAGGATTGAGTTAAAGCATGCAAAATAATACTCAGAATGGTGCCTGGCACATAGTAAATATTCAATACACATTACCTGTTATTAAATAAAACAAAATGCCTTTTTTCAAGAAAAGTAGTCAAACAATCAAGACAGATAAAACAAATATGGTGATTAGGCATGGTGGCTCACGCCTGTAATCCCAGCACTTTGGGAGGCTGAGGCGGGCAGATCACCTGAGGCCAGGAGTTCGAGACCAGCCTGGCCAGCATGGTAAAACCCCATCTCTACTAAAAGTACAAAATTAGCTGGGCATGGTGGCACATGCTATAATCCCGGCTACTGGGGAGGCTAAGGCATGATAATTGCTTGAACCTAGGAGGCGGAGGTTGTTGTGAGCCAAGATCGTGCCACTGCACTCCAGCCTGGGCAACAAAGCAAGACTCCATCTCAAAAAATAAAATTCAATTAAAAATAAAATAATAAAAAAAAGATTACTTACAAATAGTGGTGAGTGCTTAGAAGGAAAGGGAATGCTGCAATAATGAATCCCAAGGGGGGCCTACTTGCTTGAGTACAGAGAAACCCCTAGAATAAATGTGGCTGGAGGATATGTGTAACAAAATCCCACTGCTAACCACTATGTCCTGGTGCCAAATCCTGACTCACCACAACCTTTATTCTTACTGCCCTTTTTCTGGTACCATTTCACTGGTCCTTCTTTCCTAAAGGTATCTAATAACAACAATGTTAATAGCAACTATTCAAACACATTACATGACTTATCACTCTTCACCATAGACTTATCAGGCAAACATGATTATTATCTTCATTTTACAAATGAGGAAACTAAGCACAAAGAAATTAAAGTAACTTGTCCAAGCAGACCCAGCTAGGAAGGTGCAGAGCCAAGCTTCCTACTCAGATATTTTGGCTCTAATGTTTATATAATTTACTCCCACACCACACTGCCTCTATATACCTAGACTCTTATATTCTTCTCAGAAGTCTGAGAAGAAATGGAGACTCTCAGTGTCCTTAGCTTGCTCTACCAGTTCCTAACCTGGAGAGAGGTTGGTGGTGGGAAGTTGAAGGCAGGAAGCATACCTGGTCTTCGGGAAGTTTTCCATCATCTTCTAGAATCTGAAAGAGCTCTCCCTCAGCATAGTCTGTCACCACCACCACCTACAGAGAGAAGGCAGTGGCACTGATGGCTCCAGATTCATGTATTCTGAGGTTGGGAAATTCCTGGAACCCTTGTGCTTGGGGAGACAGGGCCCAAAACTGTCAAAGCACACCTCTTTGTCAGTTTCAAAGCTGTCAAGCATATGCACAATGTTGGGATGCCGCAGACCCCGCATTATTTCAATCTCTCGTTGCAAATTCCTCAGCTCCTTCTCTGAGCGCCCCAATTTTGGGATGAACTTCAGGGCCACGACCTGTCAGTGGTAAGGTGAAAAGTTAATGCCTAATCACACTACTGAAAAGAGCCAGAATTTCAGACTTAATCTCAGAGCTCCAGAAGTCAGACTTTAGAGTGTTTGAGTAACTCTTATTATTTCTGTCAGTCTCCTGTTTCCATTTTCTCCATGGTACCCTGGCCTTATCCAGGCTTTCCCCACTCCTCATCCCAGGAGGAAACAGCATGGGCAAAACATCTCACCTTCTAGGAGAAGTGTTCTGATTTGACCAAAGCAGTCAAGATGAGATTTAGGGGAAAGGAAAGGAAAAAAAATTAAGAGGAAATAATAGAGTTCAAGTGATTTACCTCTTACTACATGGTGTGCTAGAGACTAATAATAATAATATTTGTTGTTTACTAAGAGCCAGGCACTGTACTAACTGATTTAATGTGACAACATACTTAATCTCAAACGCCATCAATCAGTTGCTGTTCTTATCCCCATTCTAGAGATGAGGAAATTGAGACATAGAGAAGTTAAGTAATTTGTCCATAATTCTAGGGTTGGAAAGCGGTGGAGATGGAATTTATACCCAAATAATACAACTTCAGAGCTTATACTCCATAAGAAGTATGAGAGAGTCAATGCCTTAGGAATATAAACTGGTATACATACATCCCTTCTAGACCCATTTTCCACTGGAGTTGGGGGTACCAAATCCCACCCAAAAGGTATCCCTCTTTGTACAATACCTGAGCACTGTATTTTCTTCGACCCTTGTACACCCTCCCAAAAGAGCCTTCTCCAATCATCTCCAACACGTGGTACTTTTCCATGACAGAGGTTTCAGAATCTCTTAGAAGGAAAAAGGTAGAGACGGTGAAGAGCTATAGATCCAGGGACAATTCCACAACATCTGGGAGGCCTAGTTGGGGCATGGGAAAGGAAAAATGTTAGCCACCTTGCCTTTTCTCTTTTTCACAAAGACCAAGCCTCAAAAAACATGGGAGGGTAGAATGATGCAAAGATGATGCGATCTTGGAACAAACACAGCATCTCTTTGTAGTTCCTCTCCACTTTCAGCCTCCTGTCCCCAACCTGGCCCCATGCCCACCTGACACCTGGTCCCCCTTCTCCCTCACCCAGCTTGGCCCACTCGACCCTGCTCTCTTAACCTAGCATCGCCCACCCAACCCTGCTCCTTTGAGTCTCCCCCAAGTTCCTGCCACTCCCAGATTCCTCAGCACCTGCTCTCAGACCCCCTGGCCCATGCGCTTCGCAAGCCAGGGTCCCTCTCTCATCCCCAGCCTAGGAGATCCAAGCTCCTCAGGCCCAGGGACGGATTCCCTGGCCTTTAGCCCCATATCTTCTGGCTGCCTGCATACGTTGCCTGACTTACAATTCTTCTCCACCCGCCCCTCTCCCCGGTCTCTTTTGGCTCCCTTTCTAACAATTTTACTCGCTAGAACTGGTGAGAAGTTCAGAGGACAAAGGCGCTCAGAGGTGTGGGAGGGACGGCGGACCACACATGGGCACTTCCTGGGACGCATCCGAACTGCCTCTGGGCCATCAGGTCCGGCTAAGGACCCGGAGTCTGCGGTTGCCTAGAAACGACGCTAGCTGCCCACCCCTCTTAGTTTTCCGCCTCCGACTTCCCTAAGGGCATTTCCGGTTCCGGCTGCGGGCCGGTGAAGACATGGCGGCGTCTGCGTCTGCAGCTGCAGGGGAGGAGGACTGGTAACTTCGGGGGCATGGGCTTTGGCTGACAGTCTGGATCTAGTCCAGAGGCCTAGCAGCTGTCGCAGACGGTCCGTACGGCGGGCGTGTGGGGTGGAGCGAAGGATGAGGGATGGCAGAGATGCTGACATCTCCTCTGGGAGATCTTCTAGACTGGGGAACGGGAGGGTGGAGGGGCGCTGATCTGAGTGAGAAGAGACCGGGTCTGCGCCCGCCAGACCAGTTCAGGCCTCGCCTTATCCGGTTCGATCCCCTTTACTCCAGCTTCACGCTATCCCTTTCTATGCTCCTCAAATGAATTTTCTCAGGGGCTTTGGGGGATGCCTGCCCGTCAGACCTCCCCATCTCCCTTTCGCCTCTCAGAACTAGTGCCCTCCAGTTCGGTACCCCTTTCTCCTTGGATCAGCGTTTTTCCGCCGAGGCTTTCCTCAACCTTCTCTCTCCCACACAGCACTAGTGAGGACTATTGTCTGAATAAAGCTTTACACCTCACATAAAGTCCCTCTAGTCCTTCTCTCAAGCATTCTTAACTAAAGACTAGAACATGGAAGGACTCTGGGATTTGGAAGTAGGATCAATGTGGGTTAACTCCGCATTTTATTAGCTGTGTGATGCTGACCAGGCCATCTAGCTTCTGTGAGTCAGTGTCCTCAGCTGTAAAAACAAAGTGGGTGTGGTATTTACCTCAGAATAGTTGAGAGGATCACGATGGATTTGTAATATACTTAAGTCTGTTTTTTTGTTTTGTTTTGTTTTGTTTTTTGAGACAGAGTCTCACTGTCGCCCACGCTGGAGTGCGGTGGTGCGATTATGGCTCACTGCAGCCTCAACCTCCCCAGGCTCAGGTGATCCTCCTGCCTCAGCCTTCCAAGTAGCTGAGGCTACAGGTGTGTGCCACCATGCCCAGCTAATTTTGTATTTTTTGTAGAGACAGAGTTTTGCCATGTTGGCCAGGCTGGTCTTGAACCCCTGGGTTCAAGTGATCCTCCCACCTCAGCCTCCCAAGGTGCTGGAATTACAGGCGTGAGCCACCACACCTGGCCTCCTTTTCATTAATAACTGAGGTGCAGGCACCTGGGAAGATTAGATGAGCCCCAAAGAAGTAAAGTGATTTGCCAAAAGGTGGAAAATTGCGACTAGAAATCCACATCTATCTGACTCCACACCTTAGATTCTTTATACTAGGACATTCTTCAGTCCCCTCTCCCCCATTTTGTTGTCACCACCTTACCAGCATCCCATCCAGGACCCACATAACTAGGGTAGGCAAAGTATTGAAGGGCCACTTGACTGAGGCTACACCTCAGTGTTACATTGGTTCAGGGAGCCCTGCTAGTACTGGCCTTTATTAAGACTATCTAGACTACTGGTTTTCAAAGTGTTCAGGGAAACTTTTTCTTTTCTTTTTTTAAGAGACGGAGTCTTACTTTGTCACCCAGGCTGGAGTACAGTGGCAAGATCATGGCTCATTACAGCCTCAACTTCCTGGGCTCCAGCGATTCTTCTGCCTCAGCCTCCCAAGTAGCTGGGACCACTATGTCCAGCTAATTTTTTATTTTCTGTAGAGATAGTCTCGCTTTGTTGCCCAGGCTGGTCTCGAACTCCTGGCCTCAAGTGATCCTCCCACCTCAGCCTCCCAAAGTGCTGGGATAACTTATAGTTGACCTGTTCAGGGGAACTTTTAAGATTCAGGGGAGACACCTTGAGTCATGGAGAGAACAACAGTGAGTGCAGCAGCCTGTAGTGCTGTGAGACTCCCATCCCATGTCAGCCAAAACTACACTATTTTCTGTGAGGTGTAAAGCTTTGTATTTTATATTTTGAAGTTTCTGCCTAAGACTTAACAACAACTGACATAAGTCGTGCTGGAGCAGCCTTACTCTTAGAATGAAGAGAGAGCAGTATGAGAAAGGAAAGTATGCATTTTTCCATGTATCACCTGGTAGAGCTGTAGACACAAACTGATCACTCAGCTTCAATTTCAATACAACTACTGTTTCTATGCTTAAGCATGTGTGTCCTCTGATTTACATCGGAACATGGATGCTAACCTCAACAGGCTGATCTAGATCAACCAGACAGCCAGGGTCATAAATACATCCAGAGTACTCTACTACCTCCCTCCTTCCCTCTTCCTTCTAAGGGAGAAGGTTATATACAGACAGGAAGAAAAAGAGGATGTAGACTAGCTACTATAGCCCAGATACTATTAGGTACTTTATATAAACAAATCACCTTTTATCCTCATAGTAACCCTAGAGAGTAGGTGTTATCATCTATATGTGATAGACAGGATAACTTAAGCTTACAGAGAGGTCACTTCCCAGATCGCATAGCTTGTAAGTGATTGGTACCTGTTACTAACTCCGAGGCTGCTGGCTCTTCCATTACAACACAGCCTTTACACCACCCTAGACCTGTTGTGTTGAGGTTGCTATCTCCTTTAAGAAGGCTTAGGGTGACTGGTGTTAAAAGTGTATGTAGACAGTAGCCAAGGCACTGGGATCCACACTGGACATTGATGTAGGGAAAGGCTGGAGTAATATTGGTAACGTTAATGCTAGTAAATGGGTGCCATACCTCTAGACCAGAAAGTCAGCCACTAAGGGGAATGAAACTTAAACAGGGAGTCAGGAAACCCGACTCTGGGCCCAGTTCTACCTATGTTAAGCCTTGGTTAGTCATTTTATTTTTCTGGAATCCACTTCTTCATCTCTTGGCAGAAATAATGCTTAAAATTCTGATTTTTGTGCCTCCTATTTGGCCAGTTGAAAAGGTAACATTTTCCTTGTTTTTAAGGAGTTTAGCAGGAAAATGCATTCTGGTAGATTGCCATTTTTCTACAAAGCCTGCGTTTATTGGCCTTAGCAGACTTCCACAGGGAGAGTTGTAATGGTGAGTCAGTCTACTCCTGTCTCTCTAGGGTCCTTCCCTCTGAAGTTGAAGTGTTGGAGTCCATCTATCTGGATGAACTACAGGTCATTAAAGGAAATGGCAGGTATGTATTCAACCAGTGGTGGGCAGGAGTCCCCCTAGTAATGAGGAGAGGTTCCATGCCGAATCTGGGTCTTAAGACAGTGTAAGCCTTGATTCAGAGATAATATTTCTCTTGTGTAGACAAAAGCTATTCCTTTAATCCTACCCCAAAAGAAAGAGTCCAATGTGTACTTTCTTTGCCCACTTTACTGTCTCAACCCCATCCTCCCCAGCCCCCAAGTCCTTACACAGTCACATCTGCGTTTCTACTTGATCCACCTGCAGAACTTCACCGTGGGAGATCTACATCACTTTGCATCCTGCCACTGCAGAGGACCAGGATTCACAGTATGTCTGCTTCACTCTGGTGCTTCAGGTCCCAGCAGAGGTGAAGCCCCTACTCTGTGGCAGCAAAGGGAGGAAGGGGAGAGTCCCTGGGGTGGATCACTTCAGCAGTAACTTGTTATTTGCCCCCACTAGTATCCCCATGAGGTGCCACAGATCTCTATCCGAAATCCCCGAGGACTTTCAGATGAACAGATCCACACGTAAGTTGAACCTGTCAAACAGGGAAAGCTCAGCTACAGCTTTGCCCAGTGACAGAAATGGGCAGGCCTAATATGTGGTTTGCCCTCTTCCTCCAGGATCTTACAAGCGCTGGGCCATGTGGCCAAGGCCGGGCTGGGCGCAGCCATGCTCTATGAACTCATTGAGGTAAGAGGTGCACTAGTCTGGGATATGTTCTTTCTTTCGAGCTAGAGCAGTTTCTAGCTGTAAAAGGGAAACCATGGGCCTAGAATCTTAAATAGATCTGGAATCATTAAGTAAGACCTAAATTAATCCAGAGAAATGAGACTCTATTTGAGAAACTTCCCGAAAGACACTGCTTAGTGAAACAACCCACATGAAGCAACACCTGGAGCTCCAATATACACGGAAAACTTCTGCTGTTTGAGATTAAAAATATAAAATTAAGTACAGTCTTATTTTCCTCTAGTTTATTTATTTTTTATTTTTATTTTATTTATTTATTTATTTTTTGAGGCAGTCTTAGTCTGTCATCCAGGCTGGAGTGCAGTGGTGTGATCTCAGCTCACTGCAACCTCTGCCTCCCAGGTTCAAGTGATTCTCCTGCCTCAGCCTCCCAAATAGCTAGGATTACAGGCATGTACCACAACACCCAGCTAATTTTGTATTTTTAGTAGAGATGGGGTTTCTCCTTGTTGGCCAGGCTAGTCTTGAACTCCTGACTTCAGATAATCCACCTACCTTGGCCACCCAAAGTGCTGGGATTATAGGCATGAGCCACCATGCCCAGCCTCTCCTAGTTTAAATTTTTAAGAAAAATGTTCAGAATAGAATGAAGGTGGGTGGCCGAGAGTCAAAGAGAGTGGGTTTGATAGGCCACTGTAGCAGTCCTAGGTCAGGCCTCCACAATGCAGCCTTGGACTTTGTGGAATTCCAGAGTACACTATTAGCTGTTCAAATAACAATTCAAATGCATAGTTCACAGCCCAACTCAATGCCTTGTGAATTTTCTGTCCATTCGGGTTGTCAATGCTTTGACATACTTTCTGAAAGCTGACTTAGAACAAACTCATTGCCCCATGGGGGAATGATATTGAAGGGGACTAATCAAGAAAGGCCTCCCAGAAGATGAGTTTTAATTGAACATTTTTTTCTCTCAAGGTGTATTATTTTCATCTCCAAGATATATTAAAAGTGACTTAATGAAAGGAAAAACAATTAGGTTGAATTTTGAAACCAGGAAGATCAAATTTTGGGGGAGGGGCAGAGACGTGGAGAAGGACTGATTCCCAGCAGAGGGAGCATCACCAAGACAGAAATGCATAAACACAAGGTAACAAACTGGCCTAGTAGGAGCCAAGTCCAGCCAGTCACTCCTAGGAGTAGTAGACAGGCCTTGCTCACCATTCTTCCCCCTAACCCCCTGTTTAATCAGTGTCTTCTCTCCTCAGAAAGGGAAGGAAATTCTCACAGATAACAACATCCCTCATGGCCAGTGTGTCATCTGCCTCTATGGTTTCCAGGTGGGTTTCTCTCTTGGGACCTGGCATTCTGCTTGGGACCAAGATGAGGGCTGTGAGAGAGCTCTGACTTAGTGCCCTACATCTGCCTTCCCTCTAGGAGAAGGAGGCCTTTACCAAAACACCCTGTTACCACTACTTCCACTGCCACTGCCTTGCTCGGTACATCCAGCACATGGAGCAAGAGCTGAAGGCACAAGGACAGGAGCAGGAACAGGAACGGCAGCATGCTGCAACCAAACAGGTAGACCTTACCAGACCTGCACGCTCATCTGACACCCTTAGGCACAGCCTTTCACAACCTTTCCATCCCTCCACTCCAGTGGCTCTTCACCTTTTTAGGGTCATAGATAACCTTGAGATTAATGAACTCTTACCTCTGTCCAGAAAAAAGGGCATCCTTTTATTTTTATTTATTTATTTATTTTTTTGAGATGGGGTGTCACTCTGCCACCCAGGCTGGAGTGCAGTAGTGCAGTCTCGGCTCACTGCAACCTCCGCCTCCTGGGTTCAAGCCCTCGGCTCACTGCAACCTCTGCCTCCTGGGTTCAAGCAATCCTCCTGCCTCAGCCTCCTGAGTAGCTGGGATTATAGGCATGACCCACCATGCCCAGCTAATTTTTGTATTTTCAGTAGAGATGGGGTTTCACCATGTTGGCCAGGCTGGTCTCAAACTCATGACCTCAAGTGATCTGCCTGCCGTGGCCTCCCAAAGTGCTGGGGTTACAGGCGCAAGCCACCGTGCCTGGCCAGGGCATCCTTCTATACACTTACATATTGCATGCAGTTTCAGGGGGTTCCCAGATCTCTAGTTAGACAACCCATGCTCTGTCCCAACTCACTGCTGAACCAGTGTCCCTGTGCCCTTTAGTCCCAGCCCTCTGCAGATTAGGTTGGCTGATGGGTCAGCACCAGGGGACATCCTGGGCTGTGACACAGGCATATGATTTTTCCTCTTTTTTAGAAGGAAGTCGGTGTGCAGTGTCCAGTGTGCAGAGAGCCCCTCGTTTATGATCTTGCCTCGCTGAAAGCAGCCCCTGAACCCCAACAGCCCATGGTAAGGGGTCTTTCTTCCAGTCTGAGCCAGGAGTAATGGCATTTTCTAAAGAGTAAGGAATGGCATCTTGTCTGTGTCAAATGGGATCTCTGAAATTGGGCTTGAACTGCCTAGGACCTCTCTGCAAAGCCACATCCCCCACTGGTGGGAGCCTAAAACTCTGGGAGCCCAGACCTGAGGGGCAAAACCAATGCAGATCTCCTGAGGCAGCCTCGGAGGAGTAGGGATTTGAGTCTGCCTTCTGCTGTTCATTATTTCCTCTCTGCCATTCTTCCTTCCAGGAGCTGTACCAGCCCAGTGCAGAGAGCTTGCGCCAGCAAGAAGAACGCAAGCGGCTCTACCAGAGGCAGCAGGAACGGGGGGGAATCATTGACCTTGAGGCTGAGCGAAACCGTTACTTCATCAGCCTTCAGCAGGTGAGGGAAGGGTTTCCCAGTCGTCCCGTAATGCCACCAGCCTTCCTACAAACCCCAATCGGCCATGGCCCCAGAGTGAGCTTTGTTCTAACCACGGAGATGATAGGCTGATCATGGTCAGCCCAGATAGTAGGAGAGGGGCCTGTAGTTCCCTGCCTCGAGGAGCTGCATCTCCCTCACTGCATCTTGTCACTTCTTTCTAGCCTCCTACCCCTGCGGAACCTGAGTCAGCTGTAGATGTCTCCAAAGGATCCCAACCACCCAGCACCCTTGCAGCAGAACTGTCCACCTCATCAGCTGTCCAGTCCACCTTGCCAACTCCTCTGCCTGTGGCAACCCAGTACATGTGTGAGAAGATTCCAGGGGCTGGGTCAAATCAGCAAAGGTTGGGCGAAACCCAGAAAGCTATGCTAGATCCCCCCAAGCCCAGTCGAGGTCCCTGGCGACAGCCCGAACGGAGGTACCCGAAGGGAGGGGAGTGCCACGCCCCTAAAGGTACCCGTGACACCCAGGAACTGCCACCTCCTGAGGGGCCCCTCAAGGAGCCCATGGACCTAAAGCCAGAACCCCATAGCCAAGGAGTTGAAGGTCCTCCACAAGAGAAGGGGCCTGGCAGCTGGCAGGGCCCCCCACCCCGCAGGACTCGGGACTGTGTTCGCTGGGAGCGCTCTAAAGGCCGGACACCGGGTTCTTCCTACCCCCGCCTGCCTCGGGGCCAGGGAGCATACCGGCCTGGTACTCGGAGGGAGCCCCTGGGCCTGGAATCTGAGGATGGTTCCTAGCAGGACTTGTGGGGGACAGGGAATTGGGCATGGGAGGGGGGCAATAAAGATATTTGGCCTTGTTTGGCTTTCTTTGCTCAGCAGCACCTAGCCTGTGAGGAATGGCTCTTTTTCTCAATTCCTAGTAAGACTGGGGTGTGGCAGAGCAGTCCCCAACTTCACTCTGAAGTCTATTCTCCAAAGAGCTGGGTAGAGGGTCTGACATCTCAGCAGCTAGTATAGTGGGTTTCAGGGAAAACTAGTGGGATGTCAGCATGTAAGCAGAGTCCTTAGGACCCACCATTAACAACCCATTGTGTACACATCCACGCCTGTCCATTATTTATATACATAGAATGCCTTTAGGTAGAGGAATTTAGTTTCCCGTTTTGTGTCTCATCTCTTTATCTTAGGCTGTGCCCCATCATTTGTGTGTCTGGTTGCCTGGCTGATCCCTATAAGCACCTGTGTGTTGGGGTCCGTGTGTTTCCTAAACAAAGGAATGAACACACAAGACAAGACAAACATGGCGGCCGCCTCGAATGGCGCGCTCTGCTTTATTTTATACAGTCGTTTGTGGAATGTTGCCAAGTCACAAGACACATTGTTGTTTTTCTGACCTTTCCCTGACTTTCTGGATTTTCAAGATGTTTACACATAAACAAGCCCCCACCACCCTGCTTCGTTTGCAAGAGCAGGACTTATCGGGTGTCGTTTGCAAGAGCAGGACTTATCGGGAACGTCTCGTTTGCGAGCACGTAGTCCTCTACACCTGTGATTGCAGCCCCTGTCTTACTCAAGTACCAATTCAGTGATAAAGGGAGATGAGAGCAGAGTAGTGTGGCAGATGTTTATAGAACTAAAGGAGGAGAGCTGAACTAAAGGAGGAGAGCTGAGCTGAGCCCAGCCTGATCACCTCCTCAGAGACTCAGCATTGTGAATTGCCCCCACAGGGTCATTTTTATACAGCATGAAGTAGCCCTGCACCTGGGCAGGACTGATCTGGGTTGTAGCTTGAAGGACACGTTCTGCAAAGTCCTCAGCTAAGGAAGGTGCCTGCCCTGGATAGAACCTCTGGAACATCTGGGACAGCTGCCAGTGTGAGCAGTAGCCCACATACTCCTTCAGGTCCACTCGCCCGGGGCGTATCAGGGCGGGGTCCAGCCTGAGAGAAGATAGGGAAAGCAGAGTCACAGGCAGTGGTCACACTAGTACCCAACAGAGATGGCTCCTCGACCTCCTGTTCCTCCCAAGGCACTAGGGGAGTGGGTGGGCTCTTGCCTCAGTCTCAGGATGCTTGGCTCCTTCCTACCTGTCAACGTGGTTGGTGGTCATGAACACAATGCGGGCCTCAGTGGAAGCCACACCATCCAAGGCATTGAGCAGTCCACTGAAGGTGAGGCGACCTAGGCCTTGGTACTTGACTGGGTCTGGAGGAAGGCAAAGATAAGGAAGCATGAGTAGTCATAGTCCAGCATAAAATCAGCATGCCCCACTATGTTCCCCTACTTATCCATGCGTCTCATGGGCTCTTGTCACTAACCCAGGCATCCTCCACCAGCCCTCTGGATTTCTGTTTTCTTCCCCTGTTCCACAGTTACTCACTCCCCTTCCTCCAGAACCCCTCACTTACTCTCCACAGCCAAGTCTCGACTGAGAAAAGCAGCATCCACATCCTCCAGGAGCACCAGGCTCTGCTGCGGGGCCACGCTCAGCAGGTGGTTGAGCCGGTCATCAGAGAGGCTAGAGTCCGTGAGGCTCAGCAGGCAGATGCTGTGCTCCAGTTCCCCAGCCAGGGCTGTGCTATGGAGGATGGGATGGCAGGAAGTAGCAGGCAACCTGGAAATGTTTCCTCAGGCCCAGCTACTCTCCTCACAGTCTGGGGACATGTGTCTCAGAGGCCTGATTTCTACTCACACCCTAATGTTCCACACATTTCATGTTTATCCTGGTCCCCGGTCCCCAGTTCCCAGATTCATTTCCCTTTCCAACCCCCACCCCAGCGTTTCCAAAAAGGCTTCATTTTGCCAAGTTAAGAGAAATTTTGAATACTCACATAAAACTGCTCTTTCCGCAACCAGGGGGCCCATAAAGCAGGTAGCCACGTCTGTAGGGAATGCCTAGGGATAGAGCCAGGATGATCATGTCTTTTGCCCCAGATATCCATGTTCATTCCCAGCCCTGACCCCTGGAAGCCTGATAATCTTGGTACAGAAGTAAATCATTCTCATACACAACTTTTCATTCCTCTTAATCTCTGGGAATTGGACTAGAGCTTTATATCACCTCATCTGGCCAGAGACCAACCTGTCCCCTCTAAAAATGTCAAAAACAGCACAGCCGAGACCCCAGCTGCTTCTCACCTCTGTCAGTGTACCACTTGGGGTTATCGATGAATTCCTGGACATCTCTGACAATTCGGTCAGCCAGACCCTGTTGCAGAACCACAGAATTCAGTGGTCGCCGGCGGCGTGGATAGCCAAAGGGACGCCATTCAGAGCCCACAGCTGTGTACATCACGGTCTTCCCTTCCTCCTGCTGCAAGGCTAGCTCTCGAGCTGGGAAGGAGAAGAGATAAAGCCAGTAATTCTCTTCACCATGGCTGATTCTTCAGTTAGGTGGAGCTGAGCCAAACAGCTTCCCCCTGTTCCCATGGGCTCACCACAGCCTGCTTATTCCACCTCTCCAAACTGCTCATCTGATGTCAAATGTCCCCATCCCTGCAATGTCCCGAGAAAGCCTCCCTGTGCCATCCCACACCTTCCTCCAGGATGTTGAAGAAAACCTTTCGGTCAGTGCCCAGGGCCGTGAAGGTGACAGATTCCCAAGGAGTTCCCGTCTGCAAGTCTATCATCTGCATCTCTCGACTTCGTTCTACCCGGATCCATTTCCCCTGATACCTGAATAAGAACGATCAAAAAAGAGTGAGTGAATGGGTCAAACCCAGCTTCCATCATTCTTTTCTACTCGCACAGCCCTCCCTAGCTCCCAACTTTACCAGATAAAGTGGTTTCCAGGGCTGGGGACAAATTCAAACTTAGTGGAAATGCGGCCGCTCTCATGCTGAAGGTACGAAGTCTCGACACTGAGGTGCTGAGTACGGGTACTATGGCGGGTGAGCCAGCTAAGCAACCAGGCATAGCTCCTGTCTCGAGCAGGGACTTCCAGTGTGATCATGTAATGGCGCCGGAATGCCACCAGGCCCAGTTGGGCACCCTTCCGGGCCAAGGCCAGGGCTGTGCCCACACCCACCAGCCCAAATCCAGCCCCAAAGTAGGGATTGTCCTTCAGGGCCAGAATAAAGTCTGAAAGTGGCATCTTGAAAGGGAAACACCAAACCTTACAGGCCCTGGAGTGTTACAAAAACCTAGGGGTTGGGAACAGTGGAGAAGGGACAAAGCACAAGATTACTTTAGAAACTGGACCTCCCCAGCCCTGCCCACAGGTCAGCACTACTGTGTGGGTCAATATCCTCCTTTTGTGGGGTAAGGGTAGTGTTGGAATGCAAGGGTGGAGACTCCAGGCCCCTCATCCCATTTTGCCCTTCATTAGTCTACTCATACCTGTTTCCTACCAGAGGACCATGTCTGGAGATGCCTTAAACCAAAAAGAGCTATATAAACTGGCTTCACATCAGGATAATGGATGGACAAGATTTTTGTCGTCCCTGGGACCAGCTTTGATAAAAAGGGGCCCACTGGCTGCAGTCAGCAAGGGAGAAGCATCCATTGACTTGTCAGTAACCCTATGCCTTGTTATGAGTAATGTCCTTCAAATATCCTCACCCTTACATCCCCAATATCTAATGTCCTGTTTATACCTTTATTACCTCCCACCTAAACTGTCTTTAAAATCACAGTTCTTGAAATGGCATTTTAAAAGGTCTTCACCTCCGGCTTCATGGAACAGCTACAAAAGGGTCCAGATCTTTCATCATAGGGATAAGCTCCAATTCCATATCTCTCTCTGCTCCAGCACCTTCAATGGCTGGCTCCCAACAGACCCCTGAACTGGGTACAAACTCAGCCTGGTACTCAAGGCCCTCTACAATACGGCGCCCACCTACCTTTCATGGATTAGCTCCCAACACTACCTGTTCAGTAAATATGCAAATACGCAACAAATATGTTCAACAAGTAAGCAACCTCCCAACTCCTTGTTCATACAGTTCTCTTGGCTCGGAATGCCTGTTCTTTTCTCCCTCATTCTCCCCAACTGAAAATCTGCCCATCTGTTACTTTCTCCACGGATCGTCACATTGTAGACAATAAGATCCTGAGGGATAAGCGCGAAGTTGTTTCTAGTACACCTCTCCTCCAACCCCGAACCCCGGCCACTTTGCCCTGCCCCTGGCATGCAGGGAGATGAGCTGACAGCAGAGACCTCGGCTGAGCCTCAGAATTGGTATCCAGAATTCCAAAACACCTATCCATGGAAGGCCACAGACAAAGCTCTCCCGCCTCCGGCCCCTCAGCGACACCCAGGAACCTCGCCCACACCCCAGCTCGCGCCTCCAGCCACATGCTTTGGGGTAATCCATCGCTCAGCCTTCTCACCGATACGACTCTCTGGCCCTCTGTCTCGATGGTTTCACCGCGCCTGCACTTTGGGGAAGCTGCGCTCGGCCCCGCCCCGGGTCCTTTCATCGACTTCCCGCCACACCCACCAAGAAGCCCACGCCACTCTATCCCAGAGCTCTCGATGGTGCTTCTCCGGCTTCAGGGCTGGAGTTGGGGTGGAGGGCGGGAAAAACCAGAGAGAGAAAACATAGAGTACCCCGGCAGCCGGCAAGAGGAAGAGAGAGTGGCTTCCACATCCCCAATATCCTAGAGGCGGCTGGGCCGGAGGCGGTCGCACAAAGGGGGCACCGGGGGCCGCTCCAGCCGCGGCCGACCATAGAGATGGGGCTCCAGCCGGCTCGGGGTCTGGAGGTGAGTGAGTAGCTGCGGGGCGGAACTGGGAAGGGAACGCGGGTGAAGCAAGCTGGAGGCAAAGTTTTTCGAGCCCCGGGATCAGGGTGGGCCTGGGCTCTGGGAACTCTCGGGAGGAAGTACTGAAGGGAGCACCCAGAGGAGCTGGGCCCTGGCACCGCAGTTGCGTCACGCTTCTGGACCCCGCCCGGTACCCGCTGCTCTCAGGACCAAAATCATGACGATGCTCCATCCCAAGCCTTCCAGGTTACAAGCCGCCTTTCCCGTTCGCTGGCTCTTATGATCCAGCTCCCGCCCGGCGATGTGGACACTGTCATCACCTCCATTTTACAGACAGGAAAGCTGAGGCCCAGAGAAGCGATGCGACTGTGTCTGTCCAAGGCTACGCGGTGAGTCAGAGCCAGAGGCAAGTGGGAACCTGGGTCCCTGGGCCGGGGCCCGTTATTTCTCCAGACCTCCTCTCTGCCTTAGTCTGTCCTTTCTCTTCCTCAGTCCTCCTGCCCGGAAGATAAGCGTATTTCTTCTCTCGTGCCCACCTGTCTCCTACCTCACCCTGCCCTTCCTCAGGTGAAGGTTCTTAATCTTGACGGCTCAGCGTCCTCCTTGGCTCCCCCCGGAGGCCATGTATGGCCAAGCTGGAAGATTCCCCAGAGCAGCGATAATATTCAGTAAGTGGAGGCTGCGGTTTCCAGAGAATCCCTCTGGCCACGGGAGTGCACTTCCCAGCCACCTTGTGAATCCCTATGATCTGTTGTTTTGAGTCGTGGGATTCTGGAAATAGGGACTATCAGATTGCAGGATCTTGGGTTTTGTTTGCTTGTTTGTCTGTTTTTTGAGACGGAGTTTCTCGCTCTTGTTGCCCAAGCTGGAGTGCATTGGTGCGATCTCGGCTCACTGCAGCCTCCACCTCCCGGGTTCCAGCGATTCTCCTCACTCAACCTCCCGAGTAGCTGGGATGATTACAGGCGTGTGCCACCACGCCCTACTGTTTTTTTGTACTTTTAGTAGAAATGGGGATTCACAATGTTAGCCAGGCTGGTCTCGAATTCCTGACCTCAGGTGATCGGCCCGCCCCATCCACCCGCCTCGGCCTCCCAAAGTGCTGGGATTACAGGCGTGAGCCACGGTGCCCCGCCTGGTTTCTTCTTTTTTTTTTTTTTTTTCTTTTTGCATCTTCTCTGTGACTCAATTTCATGAAGTGATTCCTATCATTCTTATTAATTACTAATTATTCAGCTTAAACTCATTTTAGCCATGTATAACAGGGTATGCAATTTAATTGTCATTCATTTCTCAGTTATGTTCCCATATTTAGTTTGAGGCCATAGTCAGTTAATGAGTTTGAAATTTCTCCAGACGTGTTATGTTATAGGTGAGGAACCACTGGTTTAGTGCAAGATACCTAGCGTTACTCCAGTGCAGCTCCATGTCTGTGTTTCTTCACTGGAAGCTTCGATTGTGGGTGATTTGTGTTCGTTGAAGTGATAACATCAGTATCACAAAGTGATGTCATTGAAGTGATAATGTCAACAAATTACTAAAAAGCTACACATCTAGGGAGAGAGACTGATGGGTAAAAAACAGTGCAGTGTGACCTCGTTTCTGAAAGGGCTGTGTGCAGAGTGCCCTCAGGATGCCAGAAGAGAGAAAATTAGAGTGTCAGGAAGCCAGGCCAGCGCAGTGCCTCACGCCTGTAATCCCAGCACTTTGGGAGGCTGAGGCGGGTGGATCACCTGAGTTCGGGAGTTCAAGACCAGCCTGACCAACATGGAGAAATCCCATCTCTACTAAAAATACAAAATAGTAGCCAGGCATAGTGGCGCATGCCTGTAATCCCAGCTACTCAGGAGACTGAGGCAGGAGAATCGCTTGAACCCAGGAGGCGGAGTTTGCAGTGAGCTGAGATCATGCCACTGCACTCCAGCCTGGGTGACCGACTAAGACTGTCTCAAAAAAAAGAATGTCAGGAAGCCTTCATGGTGGAAGTGACATTTGTGTAGCTTCTTCAAGGATAGTTAATTGGTTAGCCAGACAAGAGAGAAAGATTGAAAAGGGGAAAAGGCGTATCAAGCCAAGAGACGCAAAAGGCTATGAGGGGATGAAAGCAAAAGAGAATGTTGTGAGTCTGGAGAATGGCACATCATCTGGTTCAGAGATCCGCTGAGGGGAGAAGTGGGAGATGAGTCTGGGGAGGTCAGCAGGATCCAGATGATGAAGGAAGGGCCTTCCTTATAATCCATTCTGAGGAATAGTGAGATTATCCAAGGTTAAGAGAGAAAGGGGCTAGGCAAGGTGGCTCACGCCTGTAATCCCAGCACTTTGGGAGGCCAAAGTGGGCCGATCACCTGAGGTCAGAAGTTCGAGATCAGCTTGGCCAACATGGTGAAACTCCATCGCTACTAAAAATACAAAATTTACCCAGGCGTGTGTGTCACCTGCCTGTAGTCCAGCTAGTAGGGAGGCTGAGGCAGGAGAATTGCTTGAACCCAGGAGGTGGAGGTTGCAGTGAGCCGAGATCACTCCACTGCACTCCAGCCTGGGTGACAGAGCGAGACTCTGTCTCAAAACAAAAAAAAAGGGACTTCTGAGATTCTTTGGCCCCACCTAATTTTGCTGCAGATAAGAAATCTGAGACCCAAATTGCTTAATGACTTGGCTAAGGGCACTTAGCTAGCGGGAGACAACCTGCAGTCATTAATATGTTGGCCAATACTTGTTGGCTCTCTCCTAATGTTCTGTTATCATTTTTATACTTTTTGTTCTGAACATTATCATAAAAGAAAGCCTCTATTTAGTCTCATAAGGTATATGTGGCATATTGCCATGCAAGAAAATGCCTAAGTCGGTGGGCACTGGGCTGTGTACCCACACCAGCTGGGAAGAAAGTAGGAACTCTAACTTTACTTTGTTTTTCTTCTGGTTGGCTTGTCAGCATTTAAGAGGCCAAAACACACAAGTCGGTGGTGATGACAGACCCACTTTTGGACTCACAGCCAGCCCATAGCACCGGAGAGATGGATGGACTGTGTCCTGAGCTATTGCTGATCCCCCCGCCTCTCTCTAACCGTGGAATCCTGGGGCCTGTCCAGGGCCCCTGTCCTTCCGGGGACCCTGCGCCTTTGCCTACTGAGCCAGGCTGCCTGCTGGTAGAGGCCACAGCAACTGAAGAGGGTCCAGGGAACATGGAGATCATTGTGGAGACAGTAGCTGGAACCCTGACCCCAGGTGCTCCTGGAGAGACCCCAGGTACAAACACAGTTGCAAGCAGGCCAGTGGGACAGGCAGCTCTGAGGTTTTGTCTGGGTTATTTTTGATTCTGTATAAATATGATGAGAACACAAGGTAGCATCCTATTTTTATACTTGGAGATGTTGTCATTTGATTTGCAGTTGGTGCATGTTGATTGAAGGCTGGCGAAGTGGTGCACAGCCTTCTACCAAGCTTTTGGCAGTCCTTCCTGCAAGGGCTTCATGTGTGTGCTAGGCAGTAATCCAGAAAGTAAGACCTTTCTGACACCTCTGCCGAATCCTGGCTTGTCCCTACTCTTACAGTCCTTGGAGATTCTTTCCTCCATATTGACCCTCCTACCCAGGAACTGCAGCCAGGGATTAAGCAAAAACCCTGTCTTGGCAGGGCTTTTCAGAAGTGATCTGGTATTTCCCTGCCCTAGTTTTTTGTGTATAACATACTTTACTCATCCAAGGCATGTTGTTAAGAATAAGAGTTGAGGCCTGGTACGGTGGCATGCACCTGTAGTCTCAGCTACTTGGGAGGCTGAAGCAGGAAGATTGCTTGAGCCCAGGAGTTAGAGGCTGCAGTATGTTATGATCATACCTGTGAAGAGCAACTGCACTCCAGCTTGGGCAATATAGTGAGACCCCTACCACTTTAAAAACAAAACAAAACAAACAAACAGCAGAAGTTGAGCATTTGTATTTATCTCAGATGAAAGATTCTCCCTTTATTCATCCCATTGTCATCACCTCTTATTTTCAGGAAGCTTCCCTGTTTTTTAATTGCCATCCTCCAGCCATAGTTGTCACCACTTCACTTGGCACTGTAGTGTAGTGACAAAGAATATTGGGAAAGATTAGCTAATTTGACCATATAATATTTCCAAACTTCTATATGGTGAAAGAAATTTAAAAAAAAAAAAAAAGAACCTAGGAAAAACATTTGCAATATGTAAGAAAGAGTTAATATCTTTTTTTTTTATTTTTTTTGAGACAGAGTCTCGCTCGGTCACCCAGGCTGGAGTGCAGTGGCACCATCTCGGCTCACTGTAAGCTCCGCCTCCCGGGTTCACGCCATTCTCCTGCCGCAGCCTCCTGAGTAGCTGGGACTACAGGCGCCCGCCACCACACCCAGCTAATTTTTTGTATTTTTAGTAGAGACAGGGTTTCACTGTGTTAGCCAGGATAGTCTCGATCTCCTGACCTTGTGATCCGCCCGCCTCGGCCTCCCAAAGTGCTGGGATTACAGGCGTGAGCCACTGCGCCCGGCCAAGAGTTAATATCTTTAAAATTCAAAGAGCCACAATAAGAAAAGGGAACCATCTTTTTTGTTGTTTGCTTTCCTTTTTATGTTTTCTTTTGGTTTTGGGGGTTTTGTTGAGACAGGATCTTGCTCTGCCACCCAAGCTAGAGTACAGTGGCACAGTTATGGCTCACTGCAGCCTTGACCTCCTAGGCTTAAGCAATCCTCTTGCCTCAGCCTCTCATGTAGCTGGGGCCACAGGTGTATACCACCCACACCCAGCTAGTTTTTAAATTTTCTTTTGTAGAGACGAGGCCTCACCTTGTTGCCCAGGCTAGTCTTGAACTCCTGGGCTCAAGCAGTCTTCCCACCTCGGCCCCCTAAAGTTTTGGGCCATCGCACCCAGCAGAAACCTTTTTTTTTTTTTTTTAATGGGAAAAAGAAATCTATGTGCAATGCTCTAAAGAAATAAAAGTAGTAACTATATGGAAGGATGCTTAATCTCACTAGCAAACAAATAAATTCCAGTTAAAAATAAGAGATGCGGCTGGGTATGGTGGTTCATGCCTATAATCCTAGCACTTTGGGAGGCCGAGACAGGCGATTGCCTGAGCTCAGGAGTTTGAGACCAGCCTGGGCAAGATGGTGAAACCCCATCTCTACTAAGATACAAAAAAATCAGCTGGGCGTGGTGGCGGGCATCTGTAATCCCAGCTACTCAGGAGGCTGAGGCACGAGAATTGCTTGAACCCGGGAGGCGGAGGTTGCAGTGAGCCAAGATTGTGCCCCTCAACCACAGCCTGGACAACAAAGCGAGACTCTTTCAAAAAAAAAAAAAAATAGGAGATGCAGTTTGGCATAAATTAAACATTTTAAATAATACCTAGTGTTGACGAGGCTATAGGAAACACCATGTTATAGATTATGGAGATACAAATTAGTATAATCTTTTGAAGGTCAATTTAGCTACATAGCAAATTTTACAGTTTGCATACTCTGACCACTGTAATTCCACTGTAGGAATCTGTCCTACAGAAAGGCATATATACATGCACAAAGATACAAGGATGAGAATATATAGGGGTGCTTTATTTGTAATGGTTGGAAACAGCCCAGATGTCCATCCGTAAGGGCACAATTAATTTATTTTTTTAAATTATTTTTAGAATGGGCAACATAGGGAGACCCCATCTCTACAAAAAATTTAAAAATAGCCAGGCATGGTGGTGCCTGTAGTCCCACCTACTCAGGAGGCTGAGGTGGGAGAATCGCTTGAGCCCGGGAGGTCAAGGCTGCAGTGAACTATGATCACACCACCACTGCACTGCAGCCTGGGTGACAGAGAGAGACCCTGTTTCCCCCACCACCAGCCAAAAAAATTATTTTTATTTTTTTTGTCCGCAGGGAAGCAAGGGCAGAATTTCATTTTGATTTGTCCATGCTCTGGAAGAAACAAACTGGACAAGAAAGTAAAAACTAGATGTAAATGTACTCAAATATAAAAATATCTTTGATATATAGCAAGTGGGAAGAAAAGGGTCAAAAAGAAACACACGAAATTGTGTGTGTGAAGGGACTGGGTGGTTTTTCTTCCTTTGTATGCTTAGGTATCATTTTAGATGTTGCACTGAAATTTTTTTTTTTTTTTTTTTTTTGAGACAGAGTTTCACTCTTGTCACCCAGGCTGCAGTGCAATAGTATGATCTTGGCTCACTGCAACCCCTGCCTCCTGGTTTCAAGTGATTTTCCTGCCTCAACCTCCTGAGTAACTGGGATTACAGGGATGCGCCACCATGCCCAGGTCATTTAGTATTTTTAGTAGAGACGGGGTTTCTCCATGTTGGTCAGGCTGGTCTCAAACTCCTGACCTCAGGTGATCCACCTGCCTCAGCCTCCCAAAGTGCTGGGATTACAGGCGTGAGCCACTGGGCCCGGCCTGAAATTTTTTTTTTTTTTTTGAGACAGTCTCTCTCTGTTGACCAGGCTGGAGTGCACTGGGCAATCTTGGCTCACTGCAACCTCCACCTCTCAGGTTCAAGCGATTCTCCTGCTTCAGCCTCCCGAGTAGCTGGGACTACAGGTGCGTGCCACCACGCCCAGCTAATTTTTTTGTATTTTTAGTAGAAACAGGGTTTCACCACGTTAGCCAGGAATGTCTCGATCTCCTGACCTCATGATCTGCCTGTCTTGGCCTCCCAAAGTTCTGGGATTACAGGTGTGAGCCACCACTCCTGGCCCTGAAATTTTTTTTTAACAAAATAACAATAAAGAGCAAAAGGACCAGCAGAATAAATGTAGGATAAACCTGACCTTGAGTCATGGCTCTACCACTAATAAACATAGTACTCTTAACCTCGTAGAATCTCAGGACCTTGTTCTCATAAGGCTGTTGGAGGACCAAATGAGAGCGTTTGTTAAGCCTTTTTAAATCAAAGTCTTGCCCATTGCTTTTAAAACAGCAGCAATTATTATGGAGAATAATAACTATTTTCAGAAAGGATATTCTCCATTTTATCCATTCCTGTACCTTTGTAAAGCTCTTTACAGAATTTGAAAGTAAAGCTCTTATCATTTATATTGCAGATATTATCCCTAGTTTGTCATTTTCTTTTGGAAGTTTCTGGTTTTCACTTGGGCAAAATATACTGTCTTAATGCTGTCTGGATTTGCTTGTTTATTCACTCATTTAACAAATATTTATTAAGCACCTACCTTGTACCAAGTATTGTGCTAGGAGTCCAAACACACATGCCAGATAGATGGTCCCTGACCTTATGGGGCTTACAGTCCAGCTGTAGGACCAGACTTAAAGTCCATCTGTACTCTACGAATATTAAAAGATTCACCTACATTTTCTACTAGTAACTAACTCCTATGAGTCTTGTTCCATCTGATTCTATGCCTTTCTCTGTCGGTCCTCTGCCTGCAGGTGTCCTGGTAAAGGTGGTGGAGGTGTACTTCTGTGAGCGCTGTGAACAGAGCTTCGCAGAGCCCACTCTGCTGGCCCTGCACCAGTGCAGTGAGACCCATATACAGCCTGTGCAGGGCCTCTCTAGCCCCCCATGCTCTGTAGAGCTGCCTCCCGGCAACCCAACCCTCCCTGGCCCTCTGCAGGGCCAGAGCCCACCAGTTAGTCCCCTATCATGCCCTGTGTGTAGACAGGAGTTTGCCCAACCCCAGGCCCTGAAGAGCCACTTCAAGATTCACCGGGGCACTCCTGACACCTTCTCCTGCCCAGAATCTGGCTGTGTGTTCTCTGCTGAAGATCGCAAGGGTCTGCAGCACCACCTGAGGCAGACTCACAGAGCAGTTCCTGTGCCCTGTTCTTTCCGGGGCTGCCCCCTGCTTTTCGGGAGCCAGCAGGGCATGGAGCTGCACCGGCAGGCGCATTACCCTTTCCACTGCAGCCACTGCAGCTTCATGGGCTCCAACGTCAAACTCTTCCGGCAGCATCAGCGGAGCCATGGTGCTGGGACACAGGGAGAACTTTCTGCCGTTCAGGGCCTTCCATCCCAGGAGCTGCTGCCAGGTATGAGGCCAAGGGCCAAGCAGTTCCTCTCCTGGAGTTCCCACAGTTGATCTTATAGGAGAGGCAGTTGTTTCCAAGGCCATGAATGTACATGAATATAAGAGAATCTAGATAGTGGCTCAGGAGGATGGAGTTACTGGATGACATGGGAAGGCATCTTGAAACAGTGGAATATATGGGACAAAGACAAAGTCTTTGTGACAATGAGTGAAAGTTGGCTTAGGCTACCTGTGGCTTGAAGTTACTTAACCAATATTCTCTAATGATCCATTTCACAGCTTTCTGAGAGCAAAAGCAAAAATGACCATCATTGGCTATGGCCACTGAAGGAATGCCTGTAGACTTTCCTTTAGAGCAACTGGGGATTGAGCAGTAGAAGCCAGGGTTATTTTAAAAAGGAAATAACCATTTGGGCTAGGCACTGTGGCGCATGCCTGTGATCCCAGCAGTTTGGGAAGCCAAGGTGGATGGATCCCTTGAATCCAGGAGTTCAAGACCAGCCTGGCAATGTGGTGAAATCCTGTCTCTACAAAAAATACAAAAATTAGCTGAGTTTGGTGGCGCATGTCTGTAGTCCCAGCTACTCAGGAGGCTGAGGTGGGGGATCACTTGAGCTCAGGAGGCGGAGGTTGCAGTGAGCCAAGATTGCACCACTGCACTCCAGCCTGGATGACAGAGTAAGACGCTGTCTCAAAAAAAAAAAAAGAGAGAAAGAGAGAGGGAGGAAGGGAAAGGAACATTCAAGGGAGATGGTGTTTTACTAGTTGCCATTCCTCTTGGTCCCAAAAAAGCATGAGAGAGCAGAGGAGCAGGAGGAAACAGAGAAAACAGGCCAGGAGAGGCCAGGATTCTGAAGAGAGAAGGAATTGCAGTCTACCCATTCTCTACTTTCAGCCCCCTATGACCTCAATGACCTCACTGCTGTCAAAAGGGGTGCTCTCTGAGGTTTGAGTTACTTTAGACTGGTACATTGCTAATAACTTAGGTCTTGGTCCTCCTATTTCTGTCTTGAGTGGAAATACATTTATACATAAAACCCAAGATTTCCTTATGCTAAAAGTGGAAGAGTGGAAGAGGGTGATTATTTCAGCCAGTAGGTGGAGAAGTATAAGCATTTAGTGCTGTCATTGGCTCCTGTAGACTTTATCAAGTTTTATGTCTCTCCAGCTCCCAAACTGCCTCCAGGAGAGAGAGAACCTTCACAGGAAGCAGGTACACCCCTGCCTGGGCAGGAGACAGCTGAAGAGGAGAATGTAGAGGAAGAAGAGAAGAATGACACCCAGAAGAACTCCCATAAGGCTGTGGATAAAGGCCAAGGGGCTCAGCGGCTGGAAGGTAATGACTAAGGCTTGAAGCCCTTGGTGGTGGGAAAGAATGGATTATTGAAACCGTGGTATTGAAGCTCTGGGGTTTGTTTTCTGAGCTTTGGTTCGGATCCTTTTATTCTGTTCTACCTTGACTCAAAAATCAAGGTCTAGTGGGAAAATGATGAATGAGTGAATGGTAAAGACTTTAGTAATATAGCATTGGGGTAAATCGAGTTTGCTTCACTGGGCTGGTTTTCCTCAGGCAGAAAACTCTAGCAGGGAAGCAGGAGGTGATCTTCATCATAATATAGAGATGCCAGAAGTTATTGATGATCAACAGCCTATTTTGTCTGGCACTGAACCCTCAAATACTTTTTTCTGAATCTTTGCTTCCCAGTTTTTCACCTCAGTAGAATATTTGAAAGTCATCCCACAAGGAGCACAGTTGTTATCAAGGTGAATAAGAAAGATTTGGTTACCAACTTCATTATTAGCTAGAGCCTGTGAGCCAGTGTTTAGAAGTAAAAATTTTTTTTTTTTTTTTTTTTTTGAGACGGAGTTTCACTCTGTCGCCCAGGCTGGAGTGCAGTGGCCGGATCTCAGCTCACTGCAAGCTCCGTCTCCCGGGTTCACGCCATTCTCCTGCCTCAGCCTCCCGAGTAGCTGGGACTACAGGCACCCGCCACCTCTCCCGGCTAGTTTTTTGTATTTTTTAGTAGAGACGGGGTTTCACCGTGTTAGCCAGGATGGTCTTGATCTCCTGACCTCGTGATCCACCCATCTCGGCCTCCCAAAGTGCTGGGATTACAGGCTTGAGCCACCGCGCCTGGCCAAGAGTTCTTTACTTTCTTTTGGCTCACCCCCTTGGGGGCTCTTCTCCTTCTAACTAATCTTGCTGATGCTTCTGCCTGCCCCCATAGAACAAGGCAGGAAAGAACAAGAATGCTCCATTCAGATTGTTTTAAGCAGAGACTCAAGAAGAGCAGGTAGCTGAGTAAAGCACTTCAAACAGGATGTCACAGCAAGGCCTGAGAAGCCCTTGTGGTTTTGCTTCTCTTTTTTTTGAGACGGAGTCTCGCTCTGTCGCCCGGCCTGGAGTGCGGTGGCCGGATCTCAGCTCACTGCAAGCTCCGCCTCCCGGGTTTACGCCATTCTCCGGCCTCAGCCTCCTGAGTAGCTGGGACTACAGGCGCCCGCCACCTCGCCCGGCTAGTTTTTTGTATTTTTTAGTAGAGACGGGGTTTCACCGTGTTCGCCAGGATGGTCTCGATCTCCTGACCTCGTGATCCACCTGTGTCGGCCTCCCAAAGTGCTGGGATTACAGGCTTGAGCCACCGCGCCCGGCCTTGCTTCTCTTAAAACTTGAGTTTCTCACCTTTTCTTTGAGACTACAGTGTTTGAGACCCTTTTGCTTGGTTTCCTGGAGAGAGGCCACACATTGTTGGTGTCTGAGCAAATTGTGGTTCTCCCATTATCTGGCTATCCCCAGAAAAATCTCACTCTCTCAACTCTATTCCCTCTCCCAGGGGATGTGGTCTCTGGCACCGAGTCCCTCTTCAAGACCCATATGTGTCCAGAGTGTAAGCGCTGCTTTAAGAAGCGGACCCATCTGGTGGAACACCTTCATCTCCACTTCCCAGACCCCAGTCTCCAGTGCCCCAACTGCCAGAAGTTCTTCACCAGTAAGAGCAAGCTCAAGACCCATCTGCTGCGGGAGCTGGGTGAAAAGGCCCACCACTGCCCACTGTGCCACTACAGTGCGGTGGAGAGGAATGCACTCAACCGCCACATGGCCAGCATGCATGAAGATATTTCCAACTTCTACTCAGACACCTATGCCTGTCCTGTCTGCCGTGAGGAATTCCGCCTCAGCCAGGCCCTCAAGGAGCACCTCAAGAGCCACACGGCAGCAGCCGCGGCAGAGCCGGTACCCCTTCGCTGCTTTCAGGAGGGCTGCAGCTATGCAGCACCCGACCGCAAGGCCTTCATTAAGCACCTGAAGGAGACCCATGGGGTGCGGGCTGTGGAGTGCCGCCATCACTCATGTCCCATGCTCTTTGCCACAGCCGAAGCCATGGAGGCCCACCACAAGAGCCACTACGCCTTCCACTGCCCCCACTGTGACTTTGCTTGTTCCAATAAGCACCTATTTCGTAAACACAAGAAGCAGGGCCACCCTGGCAGTGAAGAGCTGCGCTGCACCTTCTGCCCCTTTGCCACCTTCAACCCCGTGGCTTACCAGGATCATGTAGGCAAGATGCATGCTCATGAAAAGATCCACCAGTGTCCTGAGTGCAGCTTTGCCACTGCCCACAAGAGGGTGCTCATCCGACACATGCTTCTACATACCGGTAGGATGGTTTCCATCTTTACAATAATGTTGTAATAATGATGGTGGTGATAATGGCTACAAAGGGCCTTGCATACATTTTCTCATTTGACCCAAAATTCCTAGAGATAGATCTAGTATTCCAGGTTTACAAATGAGCCTTGAGTGTCACTTAGCTAGTAAACTAGTAGAGCTAGGATTTGAATCCATGCCGTCTGATTCCAGAGCCTGTGCTCTAACCACTGTGGTGCTGTGCCTCTTAAGCCCCTGTCCAGTTCTGCCCACCCCTAGTCAGGCTTGAGTGGGTTAACATCAAGCCTGAAGAAACCCAAACTAGGACAAATTACCTTACGTTGCAATTCATGTTTTGGGATGTGCTAAGAGACAGGGATGAGGGGACTGAACCGTCCACATGCATATGGCCTTCTATAGCTTGGGTGTCCATGATACCGAACAAGATCACCTCCAGTGACCTGGAAGTTGCAGATGTTTAACTGGCACTCGTAACTGTCTTCCAGCATTCTTGATGCTTTAGGTAACAACCAAACCAAGCTTCCTGCTACAGCATCATCCCATTTGTGATCTCTATGTTAACATCAGTGGATTGACAGAACATTTTTAGAATTTTCATCAAAGACACTGGTTTGGGAGAAAAAATATTAGGTAGCCTGGGACAAAGCCATTATTCTCATTGAACTCGTTCCTGTACATGCTTTAGTCACAGAATCTCATGTTTCTGAGGTCTTTCCAAGAGGTTTAATCTTGTAAGTAAGGCAGGTAAAGATGAGAAAAGAGACAAACCCTGAGACCTACTTTAAGACGACACAGATAGTGTTAGAACTCTGCAGAGTACCATGTTGCCAGCCTTTCACCGTAGGGAATGGGGCTGGGTGAGTGGGCAGGGACAACAAGGAAGGGTCCTGAAGGAACCTGGCCCAGCCTGTCAGTGCCAGGTCTTGACCATCAACATGAACAGCTCACCTTTGAGTTCTCACTGAGTTTCACTGACAACTTTGGAACATCTCATATAATCTTTATACCAACCTTTTGGAGACAAAGAAACAGACTGCTCGAAGCCACATGGTAGTCAGCTAGGATTTAAACTACCACTTAATGGCTCTATGATTTCTCTGTGCCTCACTTTCCCTATCTGTAAAATGAAGGTGATAATAGCACCTGCCTCTTAAGGATATTCTGAAAATCTGCGGAGAGGCGGCGTTTTTTTTTTTTTTTTTTTTTGAGAGTACAGTAGCCTAATCTCGGCTCACTACAAGCTCCACCTCCCGGGTTCCCTCCATTCTCCTGCCTCAGCCTCCCGAGTAGCTGGGACTACAGGCATCCGCCACCACGCCCAGCTAATTTTTTGTATTTTTAGTATAGACAGAGTTTCACCGCGTTAGCCAGGATGGTCTCGATCTCCTGACCTCGTGATCCGCCCGCCTCGGCCTCTCAAAATGCTGGGATTACAGGCGTGAGCTACCGTGCTTAGCCGAGAGGAGGCATTTTTTTACAAAGTGCTCAGAAGAGTGCTATTCACATAGTAAGAACTTTGTTCATGTTGGCTGTTAATATTTTTATTACTATGTTGGACTTCAGATCAGAATTCTTGACCATTCTGTTCTGTTGTCTCATTTATTTTTCCTTTTCTGGAAAACAAAAGAATTAGGCTAAGTAGAGCAGTTGACCATAGTGACAGCAAACTGTAAAACAAATCAAGAGCGGACTTTAAGCTAGTTTTGAAAAGCTTGGGCTGGGCACGGTGGCTCATGCCTGTAATCCCAACACTTTACAAGGCCAAGGTGGGCGGATGACCTAAGGTCAGGAGTTCGAGAACAGCCTGGCTAACATGGTGAAACCCTGTCTCTACTAAAAATACAAAAAATTTAGCTAGGCATGGTGGCGGGCGCCTATAATCCCAGCTACTCGGGAGGCTGAGACACAAGAATCGCTTGAGCCCGGGCAGCTGAGCTTGGCAGTGAGCTGAGGTCACATCACTGTACTCCAACCTTGGCGACAGAGTGAGACTCTGTCTCAATTAAAAAAACAGAAAGAAAAAAAAAGAAAAGAAAAGCTTGGTCTTTACTTTCTTCCCATCTTCATTGGTGTGAAAGTTGGGGGAGTAGTTACCTGAGAGGGCTGTGAAGCAGCCTTCATTATTGTGAGGTTTTCACCGTTGCAGGTAGCATATGAAGCTGTTGTTCCTCACTGGCATCAGGGCAGCCTTGCTGGAAGAAATGGTCTGTCCACTTGCTCTGTGTCTGACCTGTGTTCTCTCCCCTCATCCTCATCCCCCATATAAGGTGAGAAGCCTCACAAGTGTGAGCTGTGTGACTTCACATGTCGAGATGTGAGCTACCTATCGAAGCACATGCTGACCCACTCCAACACCAAGGATTACATGTGCACTGAATGTGGCTATGTCACCAAGTGGAAGCACTACCTCCGTGTGCACATGCGAAAACATACAGGGGACCTCAGGTACAACACCACACACATAGGCCTCCGTCCCAATCCCAAGAACCTTATGCCAAGCTAGCTTCCTCTTGGATCTAACTTCTGGCCCTGTTGCTTTCTCCAATCCCTGGAGAGTCTCCTCCTAAGGCCGGGTGCAGTGACTCACACCTGTAATCCCAGCACTTTGAAAGGCTGGGGCGGGCAAATTACTTGAACTTGGGAGTTCAAGGCCATCTGGGCAATACCCCATCTCTACTAAAACTACAAAAATTAGCTGGGCATGGTAGCAGACACCTGTAATGCCAGCTTCTTGGGAGGCTGAAGCACTGGAATTGCTTGAGCCAGGAGGAGGAGGTTGCAATGAGTCGAGATTGCACCACCGTACTCCAGCCTGGGTGACAGAGTAAGACTGTGTTTCAAAAAAGAAAAGGAAAGAAAAAAGAGAGTCTTTTCATAACACCCTTCTCTGTTCCCACTGTCTCAACTGCATTGCCTACAGCTGGCCCCTGTGACTGTGGCTCAGTCACATGGCGAGCACTCTCTGGGCTCTGGGAAGGGAGTATAGACCTACAGTATAGGCCTAGAGGCTAAGGTGTACTTGAGTTCTCAGAGTTTGTCCCTGGGAAAGTGAATAGACTCTATATTCATGCCCCAGTCTTGGCCACTTCCAAATCCAGCAAGTTCTCTGACCTGTGGCACAGCTGGCTAAGGGGTTTCTAGAGCTGTCATGCTTATGTGGGAGAAGGGAAACGAGGCACAGAAACCTGCCCTGTGGAGTTGTAGCCACGTCAGCTCCTTGGAAGGGTACAGTGGGTCATGCTGATTCATGATTATTTTAGGAAGGCAGTACAGAGTAGGGCTTAGAACACAGGCCCTGAAGCTAGGCTGTCTCTGCTCCTGGCTTCCTTTGTAACCAACCTTAGGCAAGTTATTAACGTCTGTGATTTAGTTTTTCTCCCGTGGACAATAGAGATACCAGTTTCATAGGGTAGTGAAAAGGAGGGTTATATCAGGTGACACATGTACGATACTGAGCGCAGAGCCTGGCCCACAGTAAGTATTTACTGAGTGATTCTTAGTTGTGATTAATTATTGTGATTGCCTCCCCCTTTCTCTCCTCTCCAGGTATCAGTGCAACCAGTGCTCCTATCGCTGCCACCGGGCTGATCAGCTGAGCAGCCACAAGCTGCGGCATCAGGGCAAGTCTCTGATGTGTGAGGTGTGTGCCTTCGCCTGCAAGCGGAAGTATGAGCTGCAGAAGCACATGGCTTCCCAGCACCACCCTGGCACACCGGCCCCGCTCTACCCTTGTCACTACTGCAGTTACCAGAGCCGCCACAAGCAGGCTCTGCTGAGCCATGAGAACTGCAAGCATACCCGCCTCCGTGAGTTCCACTGTGCCCTCTGTGACTACCGCACCTTCAGCAACACCACACTCTTGTTCCACAAACGCAAGGCCCATGGCTATGTGCCTGGAGACCAGGCCTGGCAGCTCCGTTATGCGAGCCAGGAGCCAGAAGGGGCCATGCAGGGCCCGACACCCCCACCAGATTCAGAGCCCTCAAGCCAGCTGTCTGCCCAGTCCAAGGGGCCAGGTCACGAACCTGGGACTGTGGTGGACCCCAACTTGGACCAGGCCCTGCCAGAGACAAGTGAGGAGGTCAACACTGGAAGACAGGAGGGCAGTGAGGCTCCCCATGGGGTTGACCTGGTTGGCAGTTCCAGCCCAGCAGAGGTGGAAGAGGGCAGCTGCACACTACACCTAGAGGCCCTGGGAGTAGAGCTGGAGTCTGTGACTGAGCCACCCCTTGAGGAGGTCACTGAAACAGCCCCCATGGAGTTCAGGCCCCTGGGACTGGAAGGGCCAGAGCTATCTAACTTTGAAGGTATTGGGACTTCTGACTTGGGTGCCGAAGAAAATCCCCTTCTGGAAAAGCTAGCGTCTGAGCCCTCCACAAATCCATCCTTAGAGGAGGCCCCTAACAACTGGGTAGGAACCTTCAAGGCAACTCCACCTGCTGAGACAGCACCCTTGCCCCCGTTACCTGAGTCAGAGTCGTTACTCAAGGCTCTAAGGAGACAGGATAAAGAACAAGCAGAGGCATTGGTGCTAGAGGGGCGGGTGCAGATGGTAGTGATCCAGGGAGAGGGGCGAGCCTTCCGCTGCCCCCACTGCCCTTTTATCACTCGCCGGGAGAAGGCCCTGAATCTGCACTCCAGGACTGGGTGCCAGGGCCGCCGAGAGCCCCTGCTGTGCCCTGAGTGTGGGGCTAGCTTCAAGCAACAGCGTGGCCTCAGCACCCACCTGCTGAAGAAGTGCCCTGTTCTGCTCAGAAAGAACAAGGGCTTGCCCAGACCAGATTCACCCATACCTCTGCAACCTGTGCTCCCGGGTACCCAGGCCTCAGAGGACACAGAAGGTGGGAAGCCCCCACCTGCACCACTAGAAGCAGAGCTACTGCTTCCGAAAGATGTTCCTTTGGAGCTTCCCAAGGAGCCAGAAGAAACAGAAGAGCCTCTTGCCACAGTCTCTGGTTCCCCAGTCCCTCCTGCAGGAAACTCCTTGCCCAGAGAGGCCCCTAAGAAGCACTGCTTTGACCCAGTCCCTCCTGCAGGAAACTCCTCGCCCACAGAGGCCCCGAAGAAACACCGCTTTGAGCAGGGCAAGTTTCACTGCAACTCCTGCCCATTCCTTTGTTCCCGGCTCTCCTCTATTACCTCTCACGTGACTGAAGGCTGCAGGGGAGGACGTGGCGGGGGAGGAAAACGAGGGACCTCCCAGACCCAGCTTGTGTCCCCATTGAGCAATGGGGACTCTGCTCCCCTGAAGAATAGGAGTACAGAGTCCAGATCTGGTGATGGGGATACAGTTCTGGTTCAAAAGCAGAAGGGGGCTCGCTTCACCTGCCCCACATGTCCCTTTAGCTGCCAGCAGGAACGGGCTCTGAGGACTCACCAGACACGGGGCTGCCCCCTTGAGGAGTCTGGAGAGCTGCACTGCAGCCTCTGCCCATTCACTGCTCCTGCTGCCTCTGCCTTGAGGCTCCACCAGAAGCGGAGGCACCCCACTGCGGCCCCAGCCCGTGGGCCCCGGCCCCATCTGCAGTGTGGGGACTGTGGCTTCACCTGTAAACAGAGCCGTTGCATGCAGCAGCACCGGCGGCTCAAGCACGAGGGGGTGAAGCCTCATCAGTGCCCCTTCTGTGACTTTTCCACCACCAGACGGTACCGGTTAGAGGCTCACCAGTCCCGACACACAGGCATTGGCCGCATCCCCTGCAGCTCTTGCCCCCAGACATTTGGTACCAACTCGAAACTGCGCTTGCACCGGCTAAGGGTACATGACAAAACACCCACCCACTTCTGTCCACTTTGTGACTATAGTGGCTACCTTCGCCATGACATTACTCGTCATGTCAACAGCTGCCACCAAGGCACCCCAGCCTTTGCCTGCTCCCAGTGTGAAGCCCAGTTCAGCTCAGAGACAGCACTTAAGCAGCATGCTCTGCGCCGACACCCTGAGCCTGCACAGCCTGCCCTTGGCTCTCCTGCAGAGACCACTGAGGGCCCCCTGCACTGTTCCCGCTGTGGGTTGCTATGCCCCAGCCCTGCCAGCTTACGAGGACACACCCGTAAACAGCACCCACGGCTTGAGTGTGGGGCCTGCCAGGAGGCCTTCCCTAGCCGACTGGCTCTGGATGAGCACCGGAGGCAGCAGCATTTCAGCCACCGCTGTCAGCTCTGTGACTTTGCTGCCCGGGAGCGGGTGGGCCTGGTGAAGCACTACCTGGAACAGCATGAGGAGACTTCAGCAGCTGTGGCAGCCTCAGATGGGGATGGGGATGCTGGCCAGCCCCCTCTGCACTGCCCCTTTTGTGACTTCACGTGCCGCCATCAGCTGGTACTAGATCACCATGTGAAAGGGCATGGGGGCACTCGTCTCTACAAGTGCACCGATTGTGCTTACAGCACCAAGAACCGGCAGAAGATCACCTGGCACAGCCGCATCCACACTGTGGAAAAGCCTTACCACTGTCACCTCTGCCCTTATGCCTGTGCTGATCCCTCTCGCCTCAAGGTAATGTCAGAGGATATGGGGCAGGAAGTGGAAGGAGTACAGGCTCTGGAGTTACACTGCCTGGGTTCTGTAAAGCTGATGCCTCCAGATATTAGCTCTGTGACTTTGGGAAAGTTCCTTTACCAAGCCCCAGATTATTCATCTGTTAAAAAGGAGATAATACCAACTTCATAGGGTTGTTGTAAAGATAAAGTTCCATATTGTGGCTCACACCTGTAATCTCAACACTTTGAGATACGAAGGTAGGAGGATCGCTTGAAGACAGGAGTTGAAGGCCACTCGGCAGCAAATTGAGATCCCATTACAAAAAAAATTTTTTTAATTAGCTAGGCATGGTGGGATATACCTGTAGTCCCAGTTACTCAGGAGGCTGAGGTGGGAGGATTTCTTGAGCCTAGGAATTTGAGGCTGCAGTGAGCTATGATCATGCCACTGCACCCCAGCCTGGGTAACAGAGCAACAGACCCCATTTTAAAAATTGGGGCTAGGCGCGGTGGCGCATGCCTGTAATCCCAGCACTTTGGGAGGCCGAGGTGGGCGGATCACGAGGTCAGGAGATCAAGACCATCCTGACTAACACTATGAAACCCCGTCTCTACTAAAAATACAAAAAATTAGCAGGGCAGGTGCCTGTAGTCCCAGCTACTCGGGAGGCTGAGGCAGGAGAATGGTGTGAACCCAGGAGGCAGAGCTTGCAGTGAGCCGAGATCACGCCATTGCACTCCAGCCTGGGCAACAGAGCGAGACTCTGTCTCAAATAAGTAAATACAAATTTATTGGCCAGGTGCAGTGGCTCATGCCTGTAATCCCAGCACTTTGGGAGGCCAAGGCCAGAGGATTACTTGAGCCCAGGAGTTTGAGACCAACCAGGGCAACATGTGGAGACTCTGTCTTTATAAAAATAAATTTTTTTAATTAGCTGGACCTTGTGGCACATGCTTGTAGTCCCAGCTACTTGGGAGGCTGAGGTGGGAGGATCGATTTAGCCCAGGACGTTAAGGCTGCAGAGAGCTGTGACCGTGCCAGTTCACTCCAGCCTGGGCAATAGAGTGAGACCCTGTCTCTTTAAAAAAAAAAAAAAAATTCCTAGCAAGAAACTGAAGATTAAGAAAAATGAAGTTCCATAATGTCTGCTTGCCGTATGATAAAGGCATAGAATAGGGTAAGAACAATCTAGATAATAACAGCTAACATTTATTGAGCACTTACTATATTTCTAGCACTATAATTCTAATCATTTCAAAAATATGAGATATAGATACTTTATTCCCCATTTTATAGATTAGTAGTCCGAGAATTAGGGATTAAACCATCTGGGACATAGCTAGTAAGTGACAGAGCTAAGGCAAACCTAGGATACCAAACTGACAAAACTCAGGGACCTGGTTGATAAGCAGCCTATGGACAGGATGGGAGCAGGGAACAGGGTTATCTGCCAACAGTTTCTCTGCCTATTTACCCCTACTTCTACATCCAGTGAGTACCAAAGGGTACACATTTTCTACTTTTTGCTCTTGCCTCTTCCAGTACCACATGCGGATCCACAAGGAGGAACGGAAGTACCTGTGCCCTGAGTGTGGCTATAAGTGCAAGTGGGTCAACCAGCTCAAATACCACATGACCAAGCACACAGGTGAGTCTGTGTGGTTTCACAGGCCTGAAGGGTTCCCTTGTTCCCTGGCAAACCTCACCTCACCAAGGTTGGTCCTTGTTCCAATTCAGGGCCAACATCAATTTTCACATTGGGAGTAGAGGGTAGGCTGGGGTTGTATGTGCCAGAATGGCTCCCCAACCCACTGAAGACCTGTCAGAATCAGAAGGGTAAACCTGAGAACCTGTGCATATGTAATTTCCAAAAGCTTCCCAGGTGACTGTGTTACAAGGTCAGTCATTTTTCCCCTCGTGAGAACCCCCAACTCAAACTTGGGTGACTGAGGGCAGATTTGCCTGGCTCTTATACAGACATGACAGAACTGTCATGAGTTAAAAAGGAGAAAGTAGAGGGGTCTCCTGTTCCAGTCTGTCCTTTTCTTCTCCTGGGTATGGATGGAATCCACAAACTCGGTTCTTGAAAGCACACAATCATGTGCCTGTGCTTACTGCATCTGATCTTCCCTGTGTGGAGGAATTGATTAGGAGCATTTCAAGGCCCTCTGCTTTTGTGAATGCCACTTCTTTCACCTCTACCTCTTCCCTCTTAAGTATTTCTTTTTCTTTTTTTTTTTTTTTCTTTTTTTTTGAGACGGAGTCCCACTCTGTTGCCCAGCCTGGAGTGCAGTGGCACAGTCTCAGCTCACTGCAAGCTCTGCCTCCCAGGTTCACACCATTCTCCTGCCTCAGCCTCCCGAGTAGCTGGGACTACAGGCACCTGCCGCCATGCCCAGCTAATTTTTTGTATTTTTAGTAGAGACGGGACGGGGGTTTCACCATATTAGCCAGAATGGTCTCAATCTCCTGACCTCATGATCCGCCCGCCTCGGCCTCCCAAAGTGCTGGGATTACAGGCGTGAGCCACCGTGCCTGGCCCCTCCTAAGTATTTCTTTTACTTTTTTTTTTTTTTTTTTTTCAGTGACAGGGTCTTGCTCTGTTGCCCATGCTGGAGTGCAGTGGTGCAGTCATAGCTCACTACAACCTCAAACTCCTGGGTACACATGATCTTCTTGCCTTAGCCTCCCAAGTAGCTGGGACTACCAAGTACACGCCACCACGCCCACCTAATTTTTTTGTAGAGACAGGGTCTCACTTTGTTGCCCAGGCTGGTCTTTGGCTTTTCGAGTTGAACAAGCAGTTGTGTTTAAATGAATTGACAAATTCCATGAGTACCCTGTGACCAAAAGAGGGTTATTTCCCATGTGGAAACCCTTCCATATTTGAATATTCATTACTCTCACGTAGCTAGTTGGTTAGAGGTCCAGTTAATCTTCAGCATCCATTGGGCACCCACAACATTGATTGCTGGGACTACAACATTGATTTCTTGTTGATGTACAAGGACTCTGTGTTGGAAAGGCACAGAAATGTCAGACAGGGCCAGGCGCAGTGGTCATGTCTATAATCCCAGCACTTTGGGAGGCCAAGGAGGGCAGATCACCGGAGGTCTAGAGTTCGACACCAGCCTGGCCAACATGGTGAAACCCTGTCTCTACTAAAATACAAAATTAGCCAGGTGTGGTGGCGCGTGCCTGTTATTCCAGCTACTTGGGAGATTGAGGCAGGAGAATCACTTGAACCTGGGAAGCAGAGATTGTGAGCAGAGATTATGCCACTGCACTCCAGCCTGGGCAACAAGAGCGAAACTCCATCTCAAAAAAAAAAAAAAAAAATGTCAAACAGGACTGGAGGACTGGAGCATTCCAAAGATATGGTCATTAGTCAACTTGCTGCTTGCATTCTTTATGTCCACCAATCACAGTAACTCCATGGCCCACTGAACCTTGCTCCACCGCCTTTCAATGGTGATTTGTTCTCTGCCCTGTAGGACTGAAGCCATACCAGTGTCCCGAGTGTGAGTACTGCACCAACCGGGCTGATGCACTGCGTGTGCACCAGGAGACCCGGCATCGAGAAGCACGGGCTTTCATGTGTGAGCAGTGCGGCAAGGCCTTCAAGACGCGCTTCCTGCTGCGCACCCACCTTCGCAAGCACAGTGAGGCCAAACCCTATGTGTGCAATGTGTGCCACCGTGCTTTCCGCTGGGCTGCTGGCCTGCGCCATCATGCCCTCACCCACACCGACCGCCACCCCTTCTTTTGCCGCCTCTGCAACTACAAGGCCAAGCAAAAGTTCCAGGTGGTCAAGCACATACGCAGGCACCACCCTGACCAAGCCGACCCAAACCAGGGTGTGGGCAAAGACCCCACCACCCCCACAGTGCACCTGCATGATGTGCAGCTGGAGGATCCCAGCCCTCCTGCTCCTGCCACTCCCCACACTGGACCTGAGGGCTGAAAGCCTGCCCCACCTGAATAGGAAGAGGGTATGGTCTGAGATGTGCAGACTGGGATCAGCACTAACCTGAGGAGCCTAAGGAAGGACTGGCTTTTGGGGAGCAAGGGTGACTAGAACCCTCCTGGGACTCTGGCTATAGTACTTTGAAATTATCACCCATATAAAAGGGGGACATGGACTACAATGTTGATTTCTTATTGCTGTACATTGTGTTTTTAACCTGCGAGTTCCCGGTTTCTTCACCATCACTCCATCAAAGTCCCTGGCTATAAGATCTGGATTTTACCCACTCAATCTTCTCTTTCCTTCTTACTGTGTCAAGTCCTATTTTCTTTCAGAATCTTCTAAAAACAGTTGTATCTAACCGCATGTGCTGTTGTGCCTAATGCTCTATAAAGCATGTTAAACAGAAAGTGGTTACTACATTATAGATTTACCCAAATGCCTGTCTTAACATTTCCAGGCTGTCATCTTGATCAACTCTGTCCCCTCTCAGACCTCTGCCTCCCTTTTGTCTCCTTCCATCTTCACTCAGTATTGATTCTGAAACAGGCCTAGGTCTGCCTTCTCTCTGTCCTTGAGCTGTCTTGACCCTTGGCCAGCTCCCTACTTCAAGCTCCTTTGTCTACCTGTATCTATAAAGGGAGGATTGCTACCCACTAAGCCTTCTCCTAGAAGCAACTTTAGCTCATCATCAATCCTCAGACTGGCTCAGGACCTGCAGTAAGGTGTTAAAGCACAAGGATACTATGGAAAGGCAGATGACTAGAGAAGAAAATCTCCAATTCAGAATTCTGTAACTGCTTCACAGTATAATTCTGTAGTGCCTTACTATATAATTGATCATCTAAACTGGGACACACTGGGAAAACTTAAAGAGGGTACTATTAATAATTATGCTGGGACAACAGACATAAACCAGGATGGTTCCAGCCAGAATCTTCAGGAAGGCTGGGACCACATAATCTTTTGTCTTCTTTTGGCCTGATTCTTAAAAGCCATACTCTGTGTCCTTCCTATGTAGCACATGCAGGAGGTCTCCTGGGAACTTCTTTGTCTACCTTTTCCTTCTCTCACCTGACTACCCAGATGTCCCCACAACCCTTGTACCTCCCCTCCTTGCCCAACAATGACAGACCATATCGAAGCCAAATTGGAGAGAGATGTATTTATACCAGTGGGGCTAAGGAGGAAGCAGTCCAGTGGGGACTGTGAGTGCTGTGCAGTGTTCTCTTGAGAGTCGTACAGTCCTGGGGTCAAGTCTCTCCCTAATCTTGGCCAGGGAAGCCTTGATCCTTGATTTATCCTTCCCTTGGCTTTGGGCTTTGAGGAAGTTGGGAGTGGAGGGGATGATGCTTCTTTAGGTTTCTCTGTTCCAAGCCCCTCTGAATTTCTAATTGCAATCTGCCCTCACACAGAGTTGATGGGAAAGATTAGTCATAGATGTTGGTATGGGATTGAGCCTACAGCAAGAGGAAGAAGGGAACTCCAGTATACAGTACACAAAGGGAAAGGGCAGGAAAGATACCAAAGGCTTATGAAAACAAGGGAAGGAAAGAAAAGAGAAAAACGGTGGAAAATCAGGTCCCAGATTTGCTTGTCAGGAAGGATGAGGTAATTTTGTGCCTAGGAATGCACAATCCAAAGCTTGGTTTTCACCACTTCCATTTGTTCTCTAGAGCGTCCTTCCAGGTGTTTCGCACCATCTAAAGCCAGCACACCAACCCTTCCCGTGAAGTGCCCACCTCAGGACTCATCCCCCTCCAGACCTTCCCGAATGCAGATATACACAAAGATGGAAGCTGGGCAGAGGCTGATGCCATCTTTGGACAGCAGGTGAATGTGGCGGTAACCTGGAAGGGGCAGGAGGACAGCATTAAGAAGGCAGTCAGAGCTGGGGTATTGGCCAGGGGTCAAAGGGGGCTGGCTCACCTTGTTGCATGCAGCTCCAAGGCAGGGTGTACTGACCAATAAAGTCATTTCGGGATTTCCAGTCATAATCCATTACCACAAAACGCAGCATGGCAAGTTCAGGCACCAGCACCCGGAAACACAGTGTCTGCCCCCAGTATGGATTAAAACCTGAGTTGGTGGATAGAAGGAAATGAAGAAGACATTATGACAGTCTTCTTGACTGGGTTGCTTTTCTTGTATTCTCATTTAATCTAGATGGCAATCAGCATTTTATAGGTGAGGAAGAAGGCTCAGAGTAAGCAAGTAATTTGCCCAGGTCACTGGAGCTTTTAAGTAAAGAGCTAGGATTCTTTGTACTGTTCCACACTGCCTCCCATGTAGGGACATGCAATAACAGAGACTATACTTAATGGAAGGCAGACTAGAAGGAAAACTAATCATGCTCCTACCCCTACTTCCCCAGCACTGCCAGTTTCTCACCATTGTTCTCCACATAGTTGGTCTCCTGCCGTGCTGTGTCTAGACGGACACCAAAGATCTGCACTTTCACCAGTGGATCCACAATGGACCCCTCTTTGGTCTTGTTGAGTTTGGGGAGTTGCTGACCACTGATCACCTGTAACGAGGGCTCTGGAATCTCACGAGTTCCTGCTCAGCCCAGCCCCACCTGACCCTACTCCCAATCCCAGGGGAGGAGAAGCTTTTTGGTTTGCAGAACATCCTCCATGGGTAATATATTTTCTTCTAGTATTCTATCTGCAATTTACAATGCATCCAAGGGCCGGGTGCAGTGGCTCACACCTGTAATCCTAACACTTCGGGAGGCCAAGGTGGGTGGATCACTTGAAATCAGGAGACCAGCCTGGGCAACATGGTGAAACCCTATCTCTGCTAAAAATACAAAAATAAGCAAGGCATGGTGGCAGGCGCCTATAGTCCCAACTACTCGGAAGGCTCAGATGGGAGAATCACTTGAACCGAGGAGGTGGAGGTTGCAGTCAGCCAAGATCATGCCACTGCACTCCGGCCTAGGCAGCAGAGCAAGACTCTGTCTCAGAAGAAAAAATAAATAAGTAAAATAAAATGGATCCAGGTAGAAATTCAACAGTTTGAAAGTAGGCATGCTAATGACAGCAGCCTCTTTTTTTTTTTTTTTTTTCAAAGAGACACGATGAGACTGTCGCCCAAGCTGGAATGCAGTGGGGCGGTCATCACTCACTACAACCTCTTAACTCCTGGGCTCAAGTGACCCTCCAGGCTTAGTCTCCTAAGTAGCCAGGACTATAGTCATGTGCCAGGCTAATTTTTAAATTTTTTGTAGAGATGGGGGTCTCACTGTTGTCCAGGCTGGTCTCAAACTCCTGGGCTCAAGCAATCCTCCTGCCTTGGCCTCCAAAGCGCTGAGATTACAGGTGTAAGCTGTTGCTCCCAATCAGCCTCTTTCATAGCACTTCCTGTGTACCAGGAGTTGTAAGAACTTCATATTAACAGCTATACTCCTTATAACCCTGTCAGGCAGGTGGTAGTGTTACCCCCATTTTGCAGGTGAGCAGACTGAGGTATGGAGAGGCTAAGGAACTTGCCCAGCATTACCCAATTAGGAAGTTGTGGTTTGAAGCTAGGCAGCTGGCTCCAAAAGCTAAAACTAGACAGTTAATATGCCTGTCAGGCCTAGCCACCTCTTCCCTCACTTCTATCCCAGTTATCTCAGTTTCTTCCCAACAGCTTATTTCCATTGTACCTGGATTAAGAGAGTCTGGGCCTTGAAAGGGCTGATGGGTCTCTCGGGGTGGAAGGAACTTTGGTTATCACGCAGGAAGTCTGGCTTCAGCACATAGCCACAGCCACCATTCTGGCGGAAATGCCCATCACAGATGTCCATTTCAAGCCCTGCAGTCTGCATATTCATGGCCACTGAGGGCCCCAGGAGAAAAGAAGAGCAAGATTCACCATGGAGGCCTTCCAGCCCCTCTTTCAGGGAGTTAAGAAGATAGGTATTGGGTGCACGGTACCTGCTGGTAATACCTCCACTGATAGCACTTCTCAGCCTAGTGATTTTCTTGAGCATTCCCCAACCCTACTGTCACTAGAGAACTTATTTCCCACCTGCTGCTCCTCCACTCCCTCTTCCCAGTTCCTGCTGCCGTCTCACCCATCTGGCAGCCTGCATTCCAGAGTTCCTGGGGATTGTAGTTGGAAGAGTCTGTCCTCAGGCCGCTGGGATACACACGGCTTAACTGCCAAGTATTGTGCTGCACAAACTCATTGCCTGTAAAAGGGTATAGAGAGGGAGATGGAAAGTGGGGTGGAATCTCCCACTTCCCTAGTCCCAAGGACCCTGCCTACCCTTCACCCTTCTCTCCAGCATCTGAAGCTGGCTCCAGAAAGTTTCACTATGCCTCTCTATTCTGTTCCATCCAGACCATCTTCCCCAGCTTTCCTGCCCCTAGACCCTTGAGCCACTATTCATAACTCCTCTACCCATGCCTGTTCTGAGGAGTTTCTGAACTCCTTCATCCCTCCTTAGATACCTTGTCTTTTTTCTTGGGACTTACCTGCCAGTCCTTCAGGCCTGAACCTATCCATCCCACTTCCCTCCCCATCCCTCCATTTTGGTCCTGACCAGCCTCCTTGATGAGGCGCTTGGCCTTGGTTTCAGAGAAAGATGATATCTCATAGAAGTGGTAGTGCTTCTTTGAATGTGTGAAGCTGCGGAATGAGACAGACTTCAAGTAGATAACCAGGGAAGAGAGGGCTGGACACAAGATGGTCTTGGATTTCTGGAAAAGGTGGAAAAGAAGATGGAATTGAACCCTCAGCAGTCTGAGAGAGAAGAAGCTAATGGCCATCCAACCTAAACCTCTGCCCACTGCCTCCCCAGTGTATTCTCCCTCCTGCCTCACCTGCTGGGACAAGAGAAGGGACCCAGGCTTGGAAATAGGAGCCTGGGCCACAATCTGACAACAGATAGACGGACAAAACAGCGGACACGTCACAACCTGGGGGTGGGAATGGGAATAAAGGCGGTCTGCATGTACTGCTGGGATCAGTGTCAGCCTCTGGGCTTGTGTTTGCTCTATGTTACATCCTGGGTAAGAGGTTTTAAATTTATTATTATTTTTAAACAGAGAGGCATTATCCTCCCTCCCTCTCATTTAAAACAAAGGAACAATAATCTTTGGTCAAAATGTACATGAATCCAGACAGATATGTCAAGGTATGCAAATGGTCATGGAAGTCACACCTGGAAGGATGTGAGAGTCCCAGAGTTATATCTTTGGATTTGTCTCCTGAATTCCCATTTCCATCCCTGGACATGGCAGCAGGTTAGACACCACAGCCCCAGAAAGCACAGGATAAGCTAGGAGTCAGTCGGCTGAGTGAGCCACACAAATGCACAAGAGAGAGAAAGGCAGACTTCAAACCAGGATTTTGGAGGCCCCACCAATGGCATCCCTTCTCCCTGTGACTCCCTTCCCCACAGGGAGATGGACCACTGTAGCATAGCCTTCTCAGAGCCTTCAGCCTCCCCACCTCAAAGCGCTCTCCTTCCTGCTCTGGCTACTGCTGGTCCTTCCTAAAACCCTTTCCAAGAAGCTTTCTCTGTGCCCACTTTGGTTGAGGTCACAGCAATCACTCCAGTAACCCCTACTTACCCAATATAATAATGTTACACATACAGACACACACATCCCCTCATCACTGGTTTTCAAGCTGGCCTTTAAGAAAACCAAGAAGTACAAAAATGTCTTAAGAGTCACTAGGGCACCCAGGAGAAAGCCAAATGGGTGCTTCAACTAGGATGGTTCTGCATTTATCTATTTTGTATAAGATTTCATTAATAAAAAAAAATTAAAAGATTGTGTGGCCCAAAGAAGTTGGAAAGCCACTGCAACATACCTGTATAGGGCAGTATATAATATATGTTGATGCCATATATGCATTCTTAAATCTCCTTCATTGGGAGGAAGGGTCATTGCTCCTTGGCCCTGCACCTTGCACGGCTCCAGTCTTCACGAACAGGCCCTCAGCTTGTGCAAGTTGACTAAATACCAAAGCAGAAAGACCACTCCTGGCTTACCTTCTTTTTGTCCTTAATCTGAAGGTTCTGCTCCTGGGGCTCAGGCTCAGACTCAGTCTCAAACTGGGACTCCAGCGCCAATTCTGACTCATGCTCACCCTCCAGCCCAGGCTCTACTTCCTCTTCCTCATATTCCAGGTCTTCCTCAAGTGTTAACTTCTTCCCCTTCACCAGGATCTTCCTCCGAAGCTCCTAGGGGACAAAAATGAAGGGGCCTGTCTACTTGTCTGCTCTCGGGTACTCCTGGAAATCATGCCAGCCTCATTGTTCTCAAAGGCAGAGGAAGTGAGTGAGTGGTCGGAAGTTCCTGAGGGAAGAGATCAGCTGCTTGATACATACAATTGGAATTCCCATATTGTTAAGCAAACTTTTAATATCTCTATCTATATGGAAAATAATATATGTGGCCTCCTGCCACACATTTGACACAGTAAATACTCCTTATAGATTAGAGATTTACATGTCAATATAAAGAACATAAGAATACCATAAGAAAATAGGGAATCTTTTTTAATAATCTTTTTTTTCTTTTTTTTGACGGAGTCTCGCACTGTCGCCTGGGCTGGAGTGCAGTGGCACAATCTCAGCTCACTGCAACCTCCACCTCCCACGTTCAAGCGATTCTCCTGCCTCAGTCTCCCGAGTAGCTGGGATTACAGGCGCCCACCACCATGCCCAGCTAACTTTTTGTATTTTTAGTAAAGATGGGTTTTCACTATGTTGCCCAGGCTGAACTCGAACACCTGACTTCATGATCCACCTGCCTCGGCCTCCCAAAGTGCTGGGATTAGAGGCGTGAGCCACTGCACCTGGCCTGAATAATCTTACTGTGGGAAAGCCTTTAGAAACATGACTTGAAAACTCAGGGCCAGGCGCAGTAGCTCAGGCCTGTAATTTGTGAGGCTGAGGAGAGTGGATCACGTGAGGTCAGGAAGTCGAGACCAGCCTGGCTAACATAGTGAACCCTCATCTCTACTAAAATACAAAAATTAGCCAGGTGTGGTGGTGCACGCCTGTAATCCCAGCTACTCAGGAGGCTGAGGCAGGAGAATCACTTGAAGCCAGGAGGCGGAGGTTGCAGTGAGCCGAGGTCACACCATTGCACTCCAGCCTAGGCAACAAGAGCGAAACTCTGTCTC